AAAAGAAAGCCATTTTTCATTTTATCAAATTAGAGCTAGCATTCGCTCTGGACTGCCTGAATATCCCCTCACCGGACCTGGATAAAAGGAATGCAAACACAAGGCTTCACACAACCAAGCCAAAATATGAGAAAGGAGGAGAAGAGAGGAGAAAAACCCTCTTCTGTTTTCTCCTTGAAACCGTTTCTCCACGCTCCTTCAAAGTCTCCCCCCTCAGATAATTTGCCGCATTGAGTGGCTTCTAAAGAGTCCTACCGCGCTGGTCCTGTTAGCATATCCGAGGACACCCTGAACGAAGGTCCAAGTTTAAAAATAAAAATTTAAAAAAAATGAAACCCCTTGGCAACTGCCTCCAGCTTCATAATGGGTGTGAGAGGAATCCTTGCCTCAAGTGGTACTTAAAAGCGGATCCTTGTTCATCTCAGCTGCCCCCGAGTGAACATCAAAGCTCAGCTCCAAATATCTTCATTAAGATTTGAAGGCCATGCCACGACCTCTACTTCGAGAGCTTATAAAAAGTGTCTTCGGTAGCAATCTTCCTCCATTAAACTCTAGGGAAAGAATGACCCCTCCGGGCAAGCAGAGGTCTGGCTAATCAGAGATGGGGAGGAACACAAAAAAAGACTTCCAGTCAAGCGATTGATTTATTATTATTTTAAAAAAAGAAAGAAATTAGAAGGTGGCCATTAGAATATCACACATGAACAAATAAGCGTGCCCTGACAGTTGAGGTGCCCTGACTCGGAAAGAAAATGATCTAGTTCGTAGAACAGAGGGGGAAAAAAAAAGAAGAAGAATCTGAAGGCTCAAAGAAGAATTGTTAAACAAAATGCACAGGTACAGTATAGGTGGTACTTTGCTTAATAATAGTAACTGTGAGAGGGATCTTGGAGTCCTAGTGGACAACCATTTAAATAGGAGCCAGCCGTGTGCAGCAGCTGCCAAAAAGGCCAACACAGTTCTAGGCTGCATAAACAGAGGGATAGAATCAAGACCACGTGAAGTGTTAATACCACTTTATGATGCCTTGGTAAGGCCACACTTGGAATACGGCATCCAGTTTTGGTTGCCACGATGTAAAAACGATGTGGAGACTCTAGAAAGAGTGCAGAGAAGAGCAACCAAGATGATTAGGTGGCTGGAGGCTAAAATATATGAAGAACAGTTGCAGGAACTGGGCATGTCTACTTTGATGAAAAGAAGGACCAGGGGAGACATGATAGCAGTCTTCCAATATCTCAGGGGCTGCCCCAAAGAAGAGGGAGTCAAGCTATTCTCCGAAGCACCTGAGGGCAGGACAAGAAGCAAAGGGTGGAAACTAATCAAGGAGAGAAGCAACCTAGAACTAAGGAGAAATTTTCTGACAGTGAGAACAATTAACCAGTGGAACAACTTGCCTCCAGAAGTTGTGAATGCTCCGATACTGGAAGTTTTAAAGAAGATGTTGGATAACCCTTTGTCTAAAGTGGTGTAGGGTTTCCTGCCTAAGCAAGGGGTTGGACTAGAAGACCTCTAAGGTCCCTTCCAACTCTGTTATTCTATTCTATTCTATTCTATTCTATTCTATTCTATTCTATTCTATTCTATTCTATTCTATTCTATTCTATTCTATTCTAAACAATTAAGAGTGTGGTCAAAGGTTCACCAACGTTGAAGTTCAAAGCTGGAAGAGTTATTTACGCCTCCAGAATCAGGCAGAAAAAGGAATTGTTTCTGAATTCAGCTTTACACAATGTCCAAGTTTCTGGGAATCTCAGAATTTATATATATACCCCTCTCCAGGGGAAGGATACTACAAAATCCCCATTCCCTCCCCACTCCAGGGGGAAGGATATTGCAAAATCTCCATTTCCTCCCCACTCCAGGGGGAAGGATACTGCAAAAGCCCCATTCCCTACCCACTCCAGGGGGAAGAATACTGCAAAATCTCCATTCCCACCCCACTCCAAGGGAAGGATACTACAAAATCCCCATTGCCGCCCCACTCTAGGGCCAGCCAGAGGTGGTATTTGCCGGTTCTCCGAATTACTCAAAATTTCTGCTACCTGTTCTCCAGAACCTGTCAGAACCTGCTGGATTTCACCCCTGATTTCCGATCAGGCCGACCACCAACCGTTCTGGCTGCTATCTCCATAGTTAAATTTTCAATCTGCAAAAACCCTGCCCTGTATTTTACTTAAAATCTTCTCTTCATTTTCTTGCCCTTTATATTTTTTGCCGTGCGTACGCTTTTTCTAAAATATTAATTTATCAGCCTTTCTTTCGAAAGATGCCGCCTCGGCAGCTTTTGCTCGAGGAAGAAATAACTACCAAAATTCTCAAGCGATACATTTCTTCCCCCCACCCACCATTTCTGCTGTATCCATTCTTTCTTTTTTCTTCTTCTTCTTCTTCCTTTTGTGTCTTTTATAGTCTCTGCCTCAATGAACAGCAGATCTTATTATTTCTCAGGACTTCCGGGGGGAAAAAATGGTGAACAGAAGACAGCTCTGCTAAAAGCAGAATGAAGAGCTGGGAAGAATAAAGAGCTGGAGAAATATACCGGGTCTTTGTTAATTCCTCTCCAGATGAGGAAAAGACGGAAGATTGCCCACAAGTGCTCCGGACGATGACTTCTTGTGAGGAGATTACAAGAAAGCCTAGAACTCTGGGATACGAAGTAATAGCCATCTTGTTCAAATCATGGCTGATGGCCCTTGGTTCACAGACTTGTTTTTCTAACCTAGCACTGATGATGTTGTTGCCTAGTTTGGTAATGAAACGTCTGCAAAAAAAAAAAAAAAACAACAACAACCCAACTCAGAGAGTACCAAGGACTACCTCCTCCTCCTCCTCCTCCTCCTCCTCCTCCTCCTCCTCCTCCTCCTCCTCCTCCTTCCAAACTCCACTCCCTCCTAGCACTGATGATGTTATCTAGTTGGGTAATGAAACCTCTGCAAGCAAATAAACTCAGAGAACACCAAGGACTCATAGTCCTCCTCCTCCTGCTCCTCCTCCTCCTCCTGCTCTTCCTCCCCGCAAACTCCACTCCCTTCTAGCACTGATTATGTTACCTAGCTGGGTCATGAAGCGTTTGCAAGAAAACAACCAAGCTCAGAGAGCACCAAGGACCCCACAAACTTCCGTTTTCCAGAAATCGCTTGTTAACTCTATTTCAGCTATTAAGAACCTTTGCACTGACAGGTTTCGGACAGCACCGGGAGAGTATCCTTCCATCCTTAGTGAAAGACGTTTTATACATCAACCTGAGGACCTTTAAAAAGTGGAATAAACAGCTAAAAAGTGATTAGAATGTTGATTTGGGAAAATTACAAATGAACTAAGGTTCCAAATGGATTGGAAATAAAATTTTTGAAATTAATTAGGAGAATCCTTTCTGCGGGAAATTCTTGAATTCTTTAAAAACACCCACACCCACACAATAGAATGAAACTTTGAAGGTTGGACACCAGAGGGAACCAAAAGGAATGAAAGAGTACACCTATACAATGTCTGCCAGATATATTTCACTAGAAGGCTCCAACTCCCCACCCAGTAAAGGCTGTCAGTTATGGAGTGTTTATTCAAATATCTAAAGCAATTACTAGCTTGAGAAATATAATTATTGTGTCTAAATATGGTGAAGCGCAGAAAGTGACATAGATGCTAAGATCCAGACTGAGGCCTATACAATGGCTACAAAAAAGACAGTTGCTATTGTGATTATTTTGATGATGACGATGATGATGATGGAGGAGGAGGAGGAAGAGGAGGAGGGGAAGGGGAAAGGGAAGGAGGAGGAGGAGAATTAAGAAGACTGAAGAAGAAGGAGGAGGAGGAGGAGGAGGAGAAGGAGGAGGAGAAGGAGAAGGAGAAGAGGAAGAGGAAGAAGAGGAGGAAGAGGAGGAGGAGGAAGAAGAGGAAGAAGGAGGAGGAGGAGGAGAAGAAGAAGAAGAAGATAAATGCTGTGCCAGGAAAAGCAGCCCAAGTTCTAATGCTAACATTGGATCAGTCTTTCATTCCTGAGATATTTGTAGAAGCATCCATAATTTCACATCAAATATTTATTCCTACATTTATTAAATTCTAAATAATTCAGCACTTGCTGCATGTCACAGAGAGACTCGGTTAAGCGTTCTCAGCTGACTGCATCTGGATCTCTCATGTCTTCTAAAATTGGGATGTTCTTGAGAAGGTGATGTTTTTTCCATTATTTGGAGAACGTTTTTTGGAAGAAACTATGTCTTCACTCATGACAATTTGTCAGTTATCTCGTTGATTGGTTTTGTCTAGTTTTCTGTTAGGGAAACTAACATTTATGTGCATTATGGAATGAAGAAAATTGAACTCAGTCTAAAGTAGAAAATCTAAATTATTTCCTGAGATTCCTGAACCTTCCACACGTTTCCAGAGGAACTAAAAAGTCTTCTAGTTGAGTGAACATTAGTGTCAGGGTCCCGATGGATGCCCTAATTAAATCATGAGTCTCGAGCCAAGCTTCAAAAGAAATCCAGTTATTTTATTAGGAGCTTCATGTCGGCTTGTTCCCAAGTGAAGCCAGCTCTGACCCTACGAAATTTACATTCCAATTATGACCCTGTTTCCACCCTCCCCGCAGGGTGTGTCATCAATCACATTCCAACGGAGCAATTTCAAGGGTTGTAGAGGTCACTCCCCTTGGCTGCTGTAGGTAACCCTGGAATACAATCTTGAGAGAGATAAGCCTGGAATGTGCATCTGTCTTTGGATGCTGTGACATTTCACTGGTTTCCCCCGCCCCCCCCCCCCCCCCCCCCCCCCCGGGCCTATGGCAAGTCGAGAGCAAGTCAGGGATGCTTTGTGTGTTGACAATTAGCATGAATATGAAAGAACACCAAAAGAGCTTAGCAAATAAATCTGATTTGTTTTTCATGTAGCGAGAGAAACTTACAGTTCAAGCACCCCATTCAGTATTGAGCTGGAAGACCTACCACAGAGCTGAGAACTTTCCAATACCAAGAGTTGAGGAAGGACCTTCTTACCTGACGTCTGCTGGATCTTCAGTCACAAGGACATCAGTCTTGCAGCTAGCCAATGGATTGATGGAAAGCTCCACCGGGGGAACCACAAAACTTTTACTCACAGGAAGCCAAAGGCCTTGGCCCAGGCTGTAGGTAGACCTTCAAAAAAGAAGACACATGAGAGCAGAAGACAAAAAAAAACAATGCCGGTTTGAGAATTTTGGACTTTCGGGCTCTAAGACTCAGCACAGAATCTCAAAATATGAAGTCCATCAAATGTGAGGTTCCATCAAAAGTAAGCTTTGAAATATTGTCTAATTTTTGTCGTTGGTCAATGGTGGCTAAATTATGGAAGCAATATCAATGAATCTCATTTTAACAGCTTATATATTTAGACTGTGCTGAAAATTAAGGACCAATAGCATCACTTGAGGTTCCATCAAAGGTAAGGGTTTGAAATAGTGTCTAATTTTTGTTGGCCTTTTTTTGGTCAATGGTGGCCAAATTATGGGAGCGATACTAATGAATCTCATTTTAACAGCTTTTACATATTTAGACTGTCCTGAAAATTATGGACATATACCATCACTTGTAAAGGTAAAGGTAAAGGTAAAGGTTCCCCTCGCACATATGTGCTAGTTGTTCCTGACTCTAGGGGGCGGTGCTCATCTCCATTTCAAAGCTGAAGAGCCAGCGCTGTCCGAAGATGTCTCCGTGGTCATGTGGCCAACATGACTCAACGCCAAAGGCGCACAGAACGCTGTTACTTTCCCACCAAAGGTGGTCCCTATTTTTCTACTTGCATTTTTTCTTATGTGCTTTCGAACTGCTAGGTTGGCAGAAGCTGGGACAAGTCACGGGAACTCACCCCATTAGGCGGCACTAGGGATTCGAACCGCTGAACTGCCGACCTTTCGATCGACAAGCTCAGCATCTTAGCCACTGAGCCACTGCGTCCCTATTAGCATCACTTGAGGTTCCATCAAAGGTAAGGGTTTGAAATATTGTCTAATTTTGGTTGGGGGGTTTTTTGGTCAACAGTGGACAAATTATGGAAGCAATACTAATGAATCTCATTTTAACAGCTTTTATATATTTAGACTGTGCTGAAAATTATGGACCAATAGCATCACTGGCCAGAAGTGAAAACAAGACGCCCTTGGATGCATTTTGGCCCTGAGGTCAGTTACGTCTTATCTTGACACAACCATCCCTTGTATACTGAAGACAATTTAGTTTTCTTGAGATGAACAGAAGTGGTAGAAAGACCAGCATACACACAAAATAAATCTTTGGAACACAATGTCCGTATATGCCGGAATGGAAAATGAACTTCTGAATGACTGTGAAATACTCCTGGTTCAGACCAGATCGCCCGATCCGGTAGCAATGGAGGCGGGTGGTTCGGAGAACTGGTAGCAAAAATCCCTACCCACCCACCCCTATGCCCAGCTGAGCCGCGCGATCATCAGAGGCTTTTTTTTCTTTTAAATGCCTCTGACCAATCCAAGCTGAGTTGCCTGATCGGCAGAGGCTTTTTAAAAAAGCCTTTTTGTTTAAAAAAGCCTCTGCCGATCAGGCAACTCATCTTGGATCGTCAGAGGCATTTAAAAGAAAAAAGCCTCTGCCGATCAGGCAACTCAGCTTGGATCGTCAGAGGCATTTAAAAGAAAAAAGCCTCTGCCGATCAGGCAACTCAGCTTGGATCGTCAGAGGCATTTAAAAGAAAAAAGCCTCTGCCGATCAGGCAACTCAGCTTGGATCGTCAGAGGCATTTAAAAGAAAAAAGCCTCTGCCGATCAGGCAACTCAGCTTGGATCGTCAGAGGCATTTAAAAGAAAAAAGCCTCTGCCGATCAGGCAACTCAGCTGGGATTGTCAGAGCCTTTTGAAAGCATTTTTTAACAACCTCTAGAAAAAATGGTTTTAAAAGTTAAAAAAGAAAAATTGGCCACGCCTACCCAGTCACATTACCCCACCCTCCCCACTAAGCCACGCCCACAGAACCAGTAGTAACAAATTTTAGATTTCACCCCTGACGCAGTAACAACTTCAGCAAATGTATGCAAGAAAACCACCAAACTCAGGGAGCATCAAGGACCCCACAATGACCTCTGAAATTGAACTACCCTCCTTCACCCCCAAAACCAAGAAAGGACAGATCGACGGGGAAACATCAATCAAACCGATTGCATGACTCACCTAAGAATTTTCTCCGGAGCTTGTTCTCCCGTCACCAAATCGTAACCTCTTTCCAGAGTTGTGTACGGCCAAGGGCTGGTGAAAACAAAGGAAGAAAAACACTCATTATTATCATCCACGGAAAGGGTTTGGAATTTAAAAACAAGAGCCGGCCAGAAGCAAATCCATTTCTCCTTTTAATAACAACATTACTCACTGCCATATCATTTTCTCATCTTCGGCCCAAACAGCTTATTATCCTTTCTTTCTCTTTTTTTCCCAGTAATTACGCTATTTATTTATGGCATTCTAATGCATTGGCAGCTTATCTATATTTAATTATATGTATTGTCCTGCTCCAGCCTTGTGGCTCTTGCGGATTGATTGATATATTAAGATGATATTGAAGTAACGATTTCCAGCCTCACTTTCCTCCCCCTGCGAAAGTCAAGCGTGCTTGCCGCTGTTTAACTTTTAATGGTTTCTTGAGACTTCAGAATTGACGTTGTGCAGAGCATTGGGCCATGTAAATCAGAGTGAGTGTTGGTGGCATTTAAATAAGCCCTTTGTTGACAAGCTGGAGAAGCGTAGCGTTGAAACTAAGATTCCTGGCTTGCAAACTTCGCCTACTAGCTTTGAGCCACAGCTCCCGCGTAATTCCTTTACTCCAGAAAGCCAATCCTTAAAAAATACACATTTAATGCATTATTTATACAGAAATCTCCTTCCGGAGAGAAGATTTAAAGGGAGCCAAACCCAGGGAAGCAATGTGGTATACTCATACCCTTGAACAGCATCCAAAGGCAGGCTAACCATCATCAAAACACGGTTAATTAAAGACCTCCTCCATTGGCGTCTCCCGATGCATGCAATCTTGGTTAACAACCAGTTGTTTTTTTTTTAAATTCCTGCTTTCCGGATGAACCTGGGAGGAAGAGTTAACCTCTGGCTCCGTTCCCAGGCCTGGAGTTGGAGTTTGTCACTGTTTAATGGTCCCTGTTTTGCTTGATAGATTTTGTTAGCAGAATGTTTTAGCCTGTTGATTTAATGTTTCTGGCTGTTGTTTTTTTTCTTTTAATGGTTGGTGTTTTTTTAGATAAAAAAGGTATGTAAGCAGTGATGGGATTCAGCCGGTTCGGGAAAACTGGTAGTTAAATTTCTGGCTGGCCACACCCCATCCCTTCCAGGAGTCCCCACATGCCTCATTTTGGCTCCTAGGTAAGTGCAGTGAGGCGTACTAGGTTCAAAACGAGGCACCGGGAGGGGTGGGTGTGACATGTTCCCCCCGCGACCCGTTTTCTCTCCCGGGAGGCTTCAGGGAGGCCCTGCAACCTATCTTTCCTCACTTCTCCTTCCCCTTTCCCTCCCTACTCTTTTCCTATTTACTTTGTACTTTGTATTTTATATAAAGGGACACGGTGGCTCATTGGCTAAGATGCTGAGCTTGTCGATCAGAAGGTTGGAACGGTTCGAATCCCTAGTGCCGCGTAACGGGGGTGAGCTCCCGTGACTTGTCCCAGTTTCTGCCAACCTAGCAGTTTGAAAGCAGGTAAAAATGCAAGTAGAAAAATAGGGACCACCTTTGGTGGGAAGGTAACAACGTTCCGTGCGCCTTTGGCGTTGAGTCATGCTGGCCACATGACCACGGAGACGTCTTCGGACAGCGCTGGCTCTTCGGCTTTGAAACAGAGATGAGCACTGCCCCCTAGAGTCGGGAACGACTAGCACATATGTGCAAGGGGAACCTTTACCTTTACCTTACTTTATAACTCAATAAAAAATGTTAATGGGAAAAAAAAGCATGTAACCAAACAAACCTTCTGGGACAGGCAGAATTTGGGGAACACAATTAAACATGGAATTCTTACTGATGACGATGGCTGGATTTTCTGGTCAGTAATTCGGAAAAGTCTGGTGTCTTGGTTGCACAAAGATGCTGCTTTAATGCCGTCCTTCCTTCCTTGCCAATTTTCCCTGGAGGTTGCCCACCCTGCCCTAGAAGACCCTGACATATTTACCCTTCGCTGTGTTCCCAGGTGTTACGGATACAAAGGTGTCGATGAACAGGATCGGGCGCGTAGCCTTCGTGGCAGCTGCACTCACCTGGAAACAGAGAAAACCTCAAATGTTCAACTCCTCCTTGCATTTTCGATCCACGGTTCTACAAGTAGTCCTCGATGTACGGCGGACACTGAGCCCCCCCCCCCAATTTGTTGTTCTTAATTTGCACATGTGACCCCGCCAAAGATAAGGTACCCTGTTTCCCCGGAAATAAGTCATCCCCTGATAATAAGCCCAATCGGGCTTTTGAGCGCATGCACTAAAATAACCTCCCCCTGAAAATAAGCCCTCCCCGAAAATATTTAAATGCAGAGCTGGAAATCAGGTAAGATGGCAAGAGAAGCCTCATTTTACTCCAGGTGCCCCAAAATAATAAGATCTCCCCGAAAATAAGGCCAAGCGCTTCTTTCGGGGTTCAAAAAAATATAAGACAGGGTCTTATTTTTGGGAAAACATGGTATTCTATTTCTATTGCATTGCATTGCATTCTATTCTATTCTATTCTATTCTATTCTATTCTATTCTATTCTATTCTATTCTATTCTATTCTATTCTCTATTCTATTCTATTCTATTCTATTCTATTCTATTCTATTCTATTCTTTTTTATATTCTACCCTGTTTCCCCAAAAACAGATAATAAGCCAATCAGGCTGATAATAAGCCAATCAGGCTTTTGAGCGCATGTGCTAAAATAAGCCCTCCCCAAAAATATTTAAATGCAGAGCTGGAAATCAGGTAAGATGGCAAGAGGAGCCCCATCTTGCTCCACGCGCCCCAAAATAATATCTCGCCGAAAATAAGGCTAAACGCTTCTTTCGGAGTTAAAAAAATATATATAAGACAGGGTCTTATTTTCGGGAAAACATGGATAGTCTCCAACTTACAATTGTTCGTTTAGTGACCATTCAAAGTTACTGAACTACACTGAAAAATGTGATTGATGGCCGTCTTTTTTCAGTTACCTTTGCAGTCAAAATTCAAATTCAGAGGCTTGGCAACTGGCATGAACTTATGTCGGTTGCTGTGTCCCTGGGTCATGCAAATCCCCTTTTTGCAAAGTCAATGGGGGGCAGCCGGATTCACTTAACAACTGGGCTACTAACTAAACAACAGCAGTGACAAGAAAGGTCGTAAAATGCTGCAAAACTCACTTAATGACAGAATATCTCACTTAACGAGAGAAATGTTGGGCTCCGTTGTGGTTTTGGCTTCTAGCGACGTGCCTGGTTTTATACGATTCGGCACCTCTCTGTTGGTTGCGCTGGCTGTCTATAGTACAGGTAGTCCTCAACTTACAACCTCCACGGAGCCCAAATTTTCTGTTGTTAAGCGAGA